CTTCGAATCCAAGCAAAATTATATAAAGAAAAGCATTTTATAGCACAATGGTTTTCATTTAGTAGTGGTGTGCAATACTGTAAATTCTGATATTGATTCAAAGTAAGTGCCGGACCAGTATTGCTGATACCAATACTGATACTTTGAACCTAAAAAGGCAGCTTATGTAGAAGAGAGCATGTTTGAGGTATACTTTTTCATTTTTACCCCTCAGAAAATATTTTATTTAACACAATTCACTGAACTTGGAGAATAGTATTAATCATATGGCACTAGTATTGATCTGATACCAATACCAGCTGGTATGGATATTATTGATATTTTAATCAATTCGGCCACCTCTAGCATTTAGCATCTCAACTTCAGAGGAGAATTATGGACTTTTCTTATGAATAAAACTCTTCTACTCTTTGAAGGATGTTTAATGTCTACCACACATGCTGATAATCTATGCACATTATGTGTCACCATTATCCTCACAGTCATCAGAATCACATCTGCGGGGTGCATAAATGCCCTTTCAGAAACATTTTCTCACTCATGAAAAGCGTTTAATCAACTGCCCTTTTTGTTCCAATGCAAACACTTTAGCAAAAGTGCTTTAATCAGTTAAGCAAGCACAAAAATAACATTCACCTCCAGTGACCTACAAATATAACTAAAATTTCCATCACCATCATTCATGGATCTTGAGTAACAGGCAGCGTGACCCTGCAATTTCAAGAAGTTTTTTTAATCCTTCTGATTCCAGCTCGTTTGTTCGATTCATGAGATGACGCCGTGCTTCCTGCCAGTCTGGATGAAAGCGTCAACACAGTGGTCGATGTCTTCGTCCGTGTGTGCTGCCGAAATCTGAACACGGATTCTGGCTTTTCCCTTTGGTACGACTGGGTAGGAGAATCCAATCACATACACTCCTGTGGAGGGAAGACACTACTGTTACACTGTATAAACACAGTGGCAGATTCACATACTCTCTGCTAAGTGAGTCAGTTTCATCTACGTTAAAGAAAAAAATAAAGTTAACGTGGAAGTGCCAAAAAAACTGCAGTTCCTTGAGCGGCCACTTGAGGCTGTCTCCAAAAGTGAGTCAATCCTCATAGACTCCCAGAAATGAACATGTTTTTTAGCTTGGTACAAAAAACTACTTTTGGTCTCTAGTTGTAGTTTCCTCCTTCACAACAACAGTGCAGGTGGTGAATTATTTTATTACTCACAATTTTAAACTGTAATAAGGTAAATTTAAGCTTGTGGCCAACTTGACTTACTGATAAATGGCTGTACAGGAAACAGAATGTTCTAGCTTGTCCAGCAAGTCAGTGTGGTCAGTTGATGAGTGTAAAAGCAGTATTTAATTTCTTTCTTACTTAGCACTAATTAGCTTGTGTAGCCATAGCACTTACTCAGGTTAGAGCTTGCTAACCAGCCTTGCTAGCATAATAAACCAATAACTTAGCAGTTGTCATTCATCAAAACACGGTCATGTCTGACTTAAAGAAAAAAAACAAAAAAACAACAACAACATGGCAGAGGCCAGAATTTGAACATTAATTCTTTGAAAATGAATGGCTAACATTCCATCTATTATATACAGTCTATGGTCTCACCAAGTTTTAGCATATCGTCAGCCATTAAAGAGGCCAAACGTGCATCGCCAAGCATCACAGGGCAGATGGGGTGAGCTGAGCCTGCAATGGTGAAGCCGGCTTGCGTCATCTTGTTCCTGAACCTGATTTGACAGCAAAGAGAAAACTATTATACTCACAGATTGGTAAAACCAGTTGTAAGCAGTATAAACCTTATCACTAAGTGCAGGACATCCTATATATGATATTAGTATTGCTACAGATAAATTGATTGGCGTTTATGATGTACACAACACTAAAAACATAGAAGACTTCCACTGTTTGTAAGAACAAAACATACCGCATCGTTTTGGCCGTCATGCTTTGGGCAATCTCGTTGGAGGCAAGCAGCAGTTCCACAGCCCGTGTGGCACTGCCCACCACAGGAGGGGGGAGCGCGTTGGAGAATAGGTAGGGCCGTGAGCGCTGCCTGAGTAGGTCAATGAGAGGCTTTGGGCCGACTGTGTAACCACCTGAGAGAAAACAAAACAACTACATCACACCTTGGATAAGTCTGTTAGTACCTGCTCGGATCACTTGGAACCTCGGTTAGAAGGAGTTTCAAAAACAGTACCTGGGTAACAGGTATTATTAGCTAATGGAAAACCCTGAAAATCGAGTAGGTACTAATGGAAAAGGGACTTTACACTCGCATTTATTACAGGAAAAACTTTGAGTAAATATCAAAAGTGGAATTGTCAGGTGGGCCGATGCACTACACTAAACAAATGCTTCTTTTCTATGTCTGTGTTAAATGTACAATGTTTTACTAATTTATACTTCATAAAAAGATGTTATGAGAGCCTTCATGTTA